ACACACAACATCTGATTGTCTTTTACAATATAAATTATATATGCAATGGGCGTATACATTAAAGAAATAAACTCCTTGAAACAGAAATGACGCGATCTATGACTTATGAAGGAGCCCTGGTGGTGCGGTGGTCAAGTACTGGGCCACTTAATGAAAGGTGAGCAGTCTGAATCCAGTGGCCACTCGATGGGAGAAAGAGGTGGCAGCGGCTTCCGTAAGAATGACAGCCTGTGAAGTCCTATGGGGCTTTTCTACCCTGGCCGTGTGCTTCCTATGAGCAGAATCAACTTGACGGCAATGGATCTTCTATAAACTTAACATTGACCTTGAAATAAAACCATACCAAGAAGATGAGGCTTTCTACTCTCAGCAGTTACAGTCTCAGAAACCCCACAGTGGCAGTTCCACTCTGCCCTATAAGGTTCCTATGAGTAAGAAATGGCAGTGAGGTTTATTTTAGTTTGACACCCTGGAATATATAACAAGGGTGTACATTTCTACTTTGTACTTCATAATTATTTTATAATTTTAATGAATAAAGTTAATAAGTTGGGAATATCGTTATGATATATTAAGAGGCTACTTAATCATTTAAAGGGTAAATGAGAAAGGTCTGAGATTTGATTCCATCAAGTAATTAATTAGCATGTACTAAGATATTCTTAAGCATTTAATGATAAGATTTAACTTAAAAGGCACATTTGGATAAAAAAATTCTCCTTGACAAAGTTAATAAATTCAAAAATCTGATAGACTGTAACCGTAGTACTAAATATGATTCAATAATTTTCAAAAGTTTAAAACTCCCTCTTTTAAAAGTAGATTTATCAACTCCAAATTTTCCATAAATATAGAAGAGATTTTTTACAAAGCAACCAGACCAATTGATTACATTCTTAAATGTCTAGGTTCTTTTAGTCACCTTCGTTACTAGGGGGAGAGGGGGTTAAAATGAAAACAAGAAAAGCTACAGCAGACGTAACATACAATGTTATTTAAATAGGTTACTAAAGTCTTAGTCAACAACGTATCTTACCTTTAAAAGCTCTAGATTTCCTTCCTTTGCCATGGGTACTCCTCTTTTTACTGGATAACCCATCCGAAGAGGAAGAGGCACAGCGGAGGGTTTAAACGGCGCTGCAACAGGGTAGACACTAGGCCAGTCTTGGTCAACAGCCATTTTCTCCGTCCGAGGAGGCAGTACC